TTATTTCTATGTAATGTGTATCTGTAATAAAAATTGTATTTGTATATCTTATAATTTTTCAGGAAATAATGAGAATATGGCTTTTATTTATGTATACCATGACTGTTGTCATGGGTCGTGGACACAGGGGAGACAGAGCTAAGGACCCACCTATCTCAGGTGGTAGAGGTGCTGGTCATCACAAGCAGGACGGTAAGTCTTAGTATGAATTTTTATTTAATATTTTTGTTCAATTATTATAAATTAAATATCGTTTCTAATAATTTTTAATTATATTTGTAGTTGAGGAACGTGCCCGAAGGAAAGTTCGAGGCAAAGCAAAAAATATAAAACTTGAAAAAGCAATTTTACGGAACCAGGGGAAACCAATTAGCATACAATATGATATGGATATCACATTTGATCCCGTAGGAGAGCCAAAAGACATGTTTTCCCGAGAAGTTGGAAAAACAATGTGGCTGATGGTCCCTTTTGACAAATGGACTTGGGAAAGAGTTTCCCCTTCAATACGGGACATCGTATTACAACATTTAACGGTAATTATTTATTTAAATATATTTTATATGGTTAACTATAACTGTTTTTTACTTGGTTAACTTCTTTTGTAGACAAAGATTGATTTTGATCAGATGTACCAGGATGTACAAGCTAATCTGTTGACAGAGGGTTTTCAAGCAGCTTTGTTAAAAGGTTATCGAGAACGTAAAGCCGACACAAAAGAATATTTTATGTTAGTTGGAGGGTATGATGATATCGGTTATTTGAAGAGCTGTTAGAACAAACTCAAGGTGAAAGTGAGTTAACACCCACTCAAGAAAGAGTTGCATTCGAGAAAGTATTAGAAGAGCGACGTTGCCATATTAGAGGCATTGGTCGTAAACCTTCTGCTCTCCTGTCGATTCCACAGCCTTCGCAACCATCACAATAATCATCACAACCATCACAGGTAAAACAATCTACTTTGGTTTTTGTCCCAAGTGCAAGAAATAGCAATGTACTTTGGTTTTCTATCTTTGTTTAAAAATAGCAATCTACGTTAGCATTGTAAAATGCATGTTGATTTGGTAATTTTGGTTTTGTGGTGATTATTTACTAAAAAGATTGGTAATTGGGTTTTTGTCCCAAGTGCAAGAAATAGCAATGTACTTTGGTTTTTCTATCTTTGTTTAAAAATAGCAATCTACTTTAGCATTATAAAATGCATGTTGATTTGGTAATTTTGGTTTTGTGGTGATTATTTGCTAAGAAGTTTGGTAATTGGGTTTTTGTCTCAAGTGCAAGAAATAGCAATGTACTTTGGTTTTCTATCTTTGTTTAAAAATAGCAATCTACTTTAACATCGTAAAATGCACGTTGATTTGGTAATTTTGGTTTTGTGGTGATTATTTGTTAAAAAGTTTGGTAATTGAGTTTTTGTCCCAAGTGCAAGAAATAGCAATGTACTTTGGTTTTCTATCTTTGTTTAAAAATAGCAATTTATGTTGATAGTTTTTGTTTATGTTTAACAATCTAACTTATAAATTTATATATGTTGTTATTAATTATGTAGTTGAAAAATCTTCATGCAATGTTCAGCGACCCGACATGTAGGGATGAGCTTTATTCGTTTTTTCAATCCTAAAATAATCAAGAAAACGATGGGAAGAAAGATGATGGTATGTAAGGATGCGTTTTATTTGCATATGTTGTCACGCTTTAATTGCTACTTGGTAGATTGTAAAATTTTGGTTAATTGTTTATTGTAATTACCGGGCGTCATTATTACTTTTTATATTTAATCAGATATTATGACTTTTGATATTTAATTGTAAACAGATGTTTGTTTTGTAATTAGCGTTGACGCGATATTTTTTATATTTAATCGGATGTTTGTTTTGTAATTAACGTCGACACTATTATTTTTGATATTTAATCGAATATTGTTATGTAATTACCGACGATATTATTACCGGCAATCAAAATCATGCATTAATTAAAAAAAAATTAAAAATGAAAATTGTTATTACCGGCGATACTATTACCGGCAACAAGACTCATTACCGGCGACATAGTTATTAGCGGCGACGCGACTCATTAGCGGCGACACGCTCAATAGCGACGACGTTTCTCATTAGCAGCGACAAAAGGATCAATAGCAACGAAGCAGTAGCGGCGACTCAGTACCGGTGACGCGTCACCGCTATTAGTATTACCGGCGACATTTTGGTCTTTTACCGATAGCCTTTTTCCTTGTAGTGATTGGATTTAAAACTTAAAAAAAAAATTAAAAAAAATTTTAAAAAAAAAATAGTGTCAAAATCGAGAAATATAGGTGAAACATGGTCTCTTTTGTGCAATTTGTCTGAAAAAATATTAACGATTAAATGTGTACAACAAAACCTACAATGGTCATCATTGTATTTTTTTTAAAGGGAGACAAGTTGAATGTAAGATGTATTTTTTGAAAGAGAGACAAGTTCAATGGTAAGATGGAGAGTAAGATTGGTTACCCTTACAATTTTAATGACATATGTTGACAACTAGAACCAAAGATACAACTAAAAAAGATATGTATATTTACCCACACTCACAAAATGACAAGTGCAATATGTTAGAATAATACAGAATAGCATTTTTAGTATACTCATGGTTATCTTTATCTCTTCCTGTATGGCCCTAAACATTTACGGTGTATCTGATCATTCTGATATAGTGGTGCTAAAATCTAATTCGGACTGGATTTCTTTTGTGAAAAGTTAAAGGTGGGTGAGTAGCCAATGGCAGCCTTGAAGCAGATCCTTTGATCCTTTCCCTTATAAAGTGTGGTCCAAGTCTCTATTTTTGATCCAAATTGCTTGGGCAAGATTTGTTTCGTGCATACTAGAATTTAGAAAAAAAAAGTGTACGGTAAATTTATACACATGGAGTCTTGTAAGCAACCATATCTTTATTCCAACTCCTCTTGGTGCATATCATTCCTGATTTGGGAGGTGAAAAGTGCAATCAAACACATGCCACTATATGACTATCATATTCGCTTCATTTTTAGCCGTGAAGTTGCTATTAGTTATTGCATATACTTCACTTTGAAACTTTAGTTGAGATGATGCATAGTTGAGTTAAATTTGTTCTAATTAAGTAAAAAAGCTATAACACATTTGTGCTAGACATATTAATACTCATGGTGGATATATAATTGACTTAGGGTTTTTTTTTTGTTTTGTTTCTCTTTTCTCCCTCTTTATAGGTGGAGTTTGAAAGGATGGATGTTATCTGTTTGAAGTAAATGTTGTGTATACAGACGGTTTCTTTTTTGGAATGTATGAACAATCTAAATACAAAAAGATGACCACCCTTATGTCCATAAGCATTGTCTAGAAGTGATGCTGAATAATAATTGACTATTTATTTGAGACTTGTTCTAATTTAAATTGTAAATGAACACAAAAGTTATAAAGTTAACTACATGATTAGTAATATGTAGCAATACATGACTATTCTTGTGGAAGAATATGAGGGATGGAAGCAAGAGAGAGTTTGAATAGGTTCTAAAAAAAGGAGAGAGTTTGGTTAAAGGATAGCAACGTAAACAATGAGGTGTTAATCTTTAAAGACACCATCCTCTCACTTAACCCATGAAGCCCATTGGTTTATAGTAAGTCAAAAAGAAATAACACTATATATTTAATTTGTAGATGAAGTCATGTTTCCCATTAAGTCAAAAAGAAACAACACCTTAATTCTTGATAGATTATTTGATATGGTAAATGAGTAATGATCGGAGAGGTTTGCATGAATAATAAAATTTAAACCAATGAGAGTGCAGAATTAGATGCCCATAGAAGTGAAAAAGTGAAGAGAAGATTGGACCATCAAAAGGGTAAAAAGCACAGCCATATAACATTTTAATGGTCTTGTAACAGCTTTGTTCTCGCTTGCTTTCATCACAATACACAACATCATTACATCATATCCTCTTTGTACATTCTGTGTGGGGCCACAAGTTGTACACTTTTTTCTTGCATGTGGAAAAGACAATATATGTTAAAGTTTGTCCATTACCCAACCTGCCCATTTTGCCTCTTATAGTTTAATTGTAGGTTGTCAAATTAAAGTTGTAAGCCTTTTCAGATGACAAACAAGGATTGTAATTGATGATACCTAAAAGTTAAAAAGAGTCCTTTTTTAAGATTCTTATCTTATATTCTTTTTAATAATTAATAAACTTTTGTGGAAAGAGAGTAAACACATCAGGAAAATTCGGTTTTTGTGTGAAATAGATAACTTAGGATTTCTATCTTGTAACATGTTTACTCATTTTTATCAAAAAATATAGCTTTATGATTCTTATTGTCCCTGTGAAAAATAACACGAACAAGTCCCCACTGTGGGAACCTATCAAGAGTAAATGCAACCTGACTACTATATATAGTAAAATTATTTCCTTGCAAATGTGGTCCCTCGTTCAAAAAAGGAGGTGCACTTCCCTTTGTAACTATTGCTTTATCTTACAAGAAGATATGCATTTTTACTATCCTTGTATATATATAAATATATAAGAAAGTGGCTTATTACTTTTACATCATCTTATTCTTTACTATCTCATTGCCATTACAACCATCACTAGCCGCTAACAAAAGTAGAGACATTGGCAAGAAACTGTACTATCCACCTCGATATATCTTCAAGTCTACTCTCTATTTACCCTAGATATCTTCTAAAGTTACACACTAATTGAATTAAATTAGAAAAATGCTCCCAAATTGATTCATATTGATCATGTGAACCATATAAGTCAATGTTCTCATTCTTTTGTCGTACTTTAAATTTAAATATATGTGTTGTGAATGTCACCCTCACCCCGGGTGTCGTCACCAACCATCAACCGGCCCCATAACTTACATGGCGAGATAAATTAATTACAGATCTACAGAGCAAGAAAGGTGATACCCACCTATAGATTCTCACATTCTTACCATTAGCGCAAGCAAACATATACATTTAAGAAAGAACACTAAATGGTCCAGTGAAGTGGTTCTCTTTTAAATGTCCTTCAAGAAAGATAACAAAATATGCATCTCATAGAGGAGTGCACTATAATATTGCATGCTCTAGCAACCTATATATGATGATTGCTCATGCTTTCTTATATTGCTATTAATTAATTAACAGCAGTCCACTTGAACAGCTGCATGTGTTTTTCATCAGCAAAATCTCACTGTGCATCCACTTGAGACCTCCTTGCAAACCTCCCCCGTATTCGAGGCCGAGTCTGTGCATAAGTTCTCCTTGAAGAATATTTCATTAATTTCTTCTCGTATTTTCTTGTTTTCTTTTTTTCAAAATACCTTTGGACTTTATCTTGCCTGCTCATAGGAGGAAATTTAAATGGCTTATCTGACGCATCAAGTTTTTGTTTTCTTCCCGATGATAAGCTAGTTGTGTTTGAGTTGCTTCCAACAGCTTCCTCTATTAGATTTCCAGGGTGAAATGGCAGGAAAGAGAATTCATCTGCTATCGACCAATCCTCGGTGTTTGAGTAGCTGCCAGGTGTCGTCTCTGGTACAATGGCAGGGAGGGATGCCTGAGAGTTTGTTAAAAGGATATATATATACTTTTGATTAGTTCCAAATCTTCTAAAATCTAAGCTTAAAAGTCATCAGGAAAATCAAAAAAATAAATTGAAGAAGCAAGTTCTCACTCATTAAATACTTTTAAGTTTTTTCACATACATGACAAGAAGCCTTTGATCATTTAAAAAGGCAAGTCAGTACATACCTGGCAGACAAGAAGTTCTTTATGGAATGTGACAGGTGGAAATTATATATCTAGTGCTAGAAGCTTATTCACATAAGCTCTTCAAAGAGAAAGAGAATGATTGTTACTTTTAGGACATCGCCCAACTTCCTGGCATAAAGTACACCAAGAAATTTGAAATAAAGCGAAAAAAAGTGTCATCAAGAGACCAAAGGATAAATCTATAAAAAAAGGACAAAAGGAAACCCTAGGTATATATATATATATATGGTCTCTTAGAGATGAAGCTCACAGTTTCTGGGGGCACTCATATTTTGAGAGAAAAAAGAACACCAAAGCTTACATTAAAAAAGCTTGCAGGAGTACTGTTATCCAAATCGACTTTTGAAAAATCATACATCTCTTGATGTTGTTGTTGTTGTTGTTGTTGTTGTGGTTGTGGTTGTTGTTGGTGGTAGTGGTGGTGGTGGTGGTGGTGGTGGTGGTCACCATGATTTCCATGGTGATTTACCTGTTGCATACAGGCCTGAGGATTAAAGTGACCCTGGTGCTGGTTAAAGTTTTGATCTGCAGGATTTAGCAGCAACCAAGAATCAATATCATTGGTAACCATGGCTTCCTGATCATGAAAGATAGGATTTTGAGGATTGTAATTAACAGGAGTTTGAGGGGGTCCTTGATACGCTAGTAGATGATTATTGTACCAGTTGTTGGTATAGTCATGATACAAGTTTGCATGGCAACCTGTGCATAAACAAGGCATTGTGGGAGTGTTGCAAATATGGCCATAATTAGTAGTTGAATAATTATGACCCCACATTATGTATATGCTTGATTGTTTTGGGAAGTAGTTCTCATATGAGAGGGTCTTTACTCTTTATATATGCATGTAGTTTATGTGCAAGGGGAAGAATCCGGGAGAAGTGAGTGGCTGAGGAAACACTAATTAATAATAAATAACCTTGTGGTTAGCTGCATTTGCGGTGGGGTAACAGTTCTATATATAGGGCCATAGATGCTCCCATGGTCCCACCATCTCCCTTTTTTGGCTCTAATTTTTCAAGTTGGAGACTCTTTTCTCTTTTGTGCACGTGTGTTGCATGTGGCCGATAGAGAGAAGGTTAGTAGTAATGGTTAATAATGTAATTAACTCTATAACTAAGCATCAACACCACCTTCATTGCCTTTATTCTTTAACTTAATTAAGGCACATAGTCTGGCAATTGGGTTGGGTTTGAATTGGCGGATCACAGGTTGATAGGTCGGAATACATTGACCTAACCCAACTCATATTATATGGGTTGATGGGTTGGCAGGTCACGGGTTGGCGGGTTGAAAACATCAACTCAACCCAACTCATATAACCCGTATAAGTATATATGGTTTCTGGGTTCGTGAGTCAGTGGGTCGTATCCAACCCGTATAACTCATTTAATAAACAAAATATTTTAAAATAAAATTAAAAAATACAAATAAAATGAAATCATAAAGTCTTAAACATTTAACATAAAGTCATAAATAGGAGTGACAAAGATGAGTGGTGTGCGACAGCCAGAGGACAAGACGGCGAGTTGTGTGCATGCGATATTATAATAGTCGATAACTCGACGCCTCAATTGATGGAGATAGGAGACACGGAGTCGTGAGTTTGGAGACTAAAGACTGAATTTCTTTTTAATTAGGGCTTCTTAGGGGTTAGGGCACGTTAAGTCCACTCGAAAATGTTTTGTAGTTTTGGAATTCGGAAAACGATTAAACGATAATCAAATATTCAAAATTGATAAATAAATAAACAAATATATATATATATATATATATATATATATATATATATATATATATATATAATCGGGTTGGCGGTTGACCCGCGAACCCAAACAGGTAACCCAAATCAACCCATGAAATAAACGGGTTGGCGGGTTGGCGGGTTGGTGGGTCAAAAATCTCAACTCAAACTCGTTTATTTTCGTGTTGGGTCAGTGTCGGGTTACGGATTGGATCGAGGATTGTCACCCCTAATACCTGGTTTTGAATCAAATCTAATTTTCAAAACCTGCTTAAAACCGCTATACCTAATGATCTCCAACAGTGTGGGTTTACCAAAAAATGTGAATATCATACATTCTTTGTTCTATCGCTAGTTTCATTTTTCTTTAAATCCTTAGTTATTGTATTGTTCCATTAAAGATTCAGCTTATGTAAACGAACTACTTCTATTAGAGAATAGTGTTATAAAAAAGATTCAACAGGAAACAACCACAATGATAAATGAAAGCAATAAAGCAATAAAAACACATGGAAACTCAAAATTGGGAAACCCCGCTATGAACACTATTATTGAACGGTTACAATTAAGAAGAGAGAAGAAAAAAAGAAACATAGGAATAAATAAATAAATAAATAAGACATCTCCATGATGTTATATAATAATCTTTAAAAAAGTTCTAAACAAATTCTAAAACTCGTAACAAATAGGAAACTCTCCTAATAGATGACTAACTTAAGAGCCAAGAAAAGGATTTCGGAGCATCTTCAACGGATAGTGCATACAAAAGAATGAAATAGAGCATTACCGTAGAATTGGAAAAATAAATAAATAAATAAAATAAATAAATAAATAAATAAATAAATGTTTGTTTGTCATAAAAGAAAATAATGGAACATTCCTTGTTGAACTTGATTTATTCCCGTTTTTCATAGGGAAGAGGTTTATTTTCTTTGTTGAATGGAATAGGATGATATTACAATAAGAACATAATGAGAAAGGTTTTTTATAAACTATTTTCATGACACTAACTAATCAATCCCAAAAACTTCAAAATAGTAGAGTTTTTGTTGGATTAGTCTCTAAGCTTGTAACTATATTTAATATGTATTTGACTCGGTTATGCATGATCTTTTTGGGTTGTCTTCACTAAAACAACGAGACAGGATGATTTGTAGATAGAGAGAGGTTATTATGGTTTATTAATATATTATATGAATAAAATATTTAAAGAGAAATTATATAGTTTAATTAATATTGGTCAAGAATTAATTAAGAGTTAATTTTGTGGCTAAAAGAGATTAATTAAATAAGGGGGATTGGAACTGTCAGTTATAAGATAATTGATTTTGGGCTGTGAATCCTTATGTATATAGGGGGGCGGGGGGGGTGGGGAATTTAGATTGGAAGCCCACTCTAATTTCGTCCAAGGGGCCTTATTCCAGAAGGTTCTTGAAGTTGCTTAAGGCCTAAGTCATCTAATTAGGGTTTTGATTGAAACCCTAGCAGCTCAGCTATTTAAGGGACCCTAGGGATTCAGTTTTCGGCTACCTTAAGAAACCCTAGAGTTGATATAGCCGAAATTGTGCCTTTCTCCTTCTCTCTTCTAAATCATCTTCTTGCCTTGGTGTTTGTAAGCCATTAGAGGTATACACGTGTGATACTAAGCTCTTGAAGATTGAAGATTCTTGCAACTATTGAAAGGTATCATCTAAAGTTGTTTTATTATAGATCTCGTTTTCATAGTATGCTAGATTAGGGTTTACAAGCTTTGGATAAATTTGCATGTACAATAAAGAAACCTAGATCCAAAGCTTTAGGGTTTTGCATGTGCACATAGGATGTTCTTTTGCTCAAAACTCATCAGTGGTATCAGAGCCTTGCTTGGTTTCTATTGTATTTGATGCATGGTGTATTTGTTCATTGCTAAAAATCGATTTTTGTGTTATCTGCTTACAGACTCATCGAGCCCTATGAGGTACTCGATAAGTAAGATGAACTCGTCGAGTCTTGTAAGGGGCTCAACGAGTCGGGTTATCAGATAGAGGGATATTCAGGATTTTTGCTAGTTTTGACTTAGGATAATTACCATAACTGTTTCTAATTGATAAAATACAAATTTTATTGATTCCTTATGACTATCCTTGTTAAAATAAAAGATTTTTGTCATTTAATTAGATAATTATTGTCGTATATGATAAATCTTAATTATTTGAATTATTTGATCAGTTATCTTGTATGTAATTGGATTAGGTAAAAATTAGATAACCACCAATTAATTGTTTAATTGTTTTATTTGAATTTTGATCTAGATAGTTTTGAAATGTTTCAAAATTTGTCGTCTGTCACAACTAGCATTTTTAGCTAGGAAATTATGTTTCTCATATAAGCATCAACTATTGTAAGGCTTGTATCAACGCATTAAGGTTTACATTATGATACCTTAGGAACCATGTATTGTTATAATACAAAGCATTTACATCTCTCAATATCTCCCAAATCTCTCTAAGTATCTTAAATCTCTCCCAAATCTCTCTATGTATCTCAAATGTCTCTATGTATCTTCCTTAGTCGAAAACAGCTCAAAACCGATGGAGAAAACCCAAAAGAACATTCTTGGTCCGGAATACCTCCTAAGGAACCGGGAAGATTCACATCTCGGAAACCCCCCCCCCCCCCGCCTTTGCTTCGGAACACCTCCTCTCCGGAACGTTTCACCCTAGAAGCCTCAGCTTTGAACCGGACAGTTTCGCACTCCGGGTCGAAAGTCTTGTTACTTCGGAACCCTCGCATCCTCGGAAGAAATGGTTCCGGACAAGTGTTGACTTCGGAAAAAAGGCTTGACTCTGGAATTTGGGCACCGACTTCGGAACTCGCCCATCTGACTCTGGATATTGCCAAATGACCCCAGAACGCCCTAATACCCTTCGGACCCTCGCAGATTTCGGACTACACTCCGGATTTCAAACCATTTCGGAACTTTTCTTCATTTTAAGGCATTTTGACGTCGGAAATCCCACCAAACTCGTATTTTTCATAACTTACACCCCCTAAACCCCTAATTTATGTTAAATTTGAACATTTAAAACATATTTACATAAAATACTATTTAAGAGTTATAAGGGTATTATTTTAAAATCAATATAAGAATAAGATAAGGATAAGGATAAGAGGGTTTGACTTTGTGATTTGATGTAATTCCCATTCTCAATGCAAATCACAGTAACCATGCATTATTTACCAAGTAACAATGTTTGAACCATCATATTTCCATGCACATAGTTCCCTCCCCCCACCCCCCACCCACCCCCCAACACACATACACACACCTTTTTTTCTTTTTTTTTCCCTTAAAACAACGAGAGTTGGAGAATATCAAACCCCACCATTTCTCTTATTCCCTCATATCCTCTCAAATACTTCCCTGAAGAGCAAGAGCAAGGATTTTGTTAAGGCTTAACTCTTCCAGTTCTCCTTAAGATTTTTAGGTTAGATATTCCATTAATCTAGTATTTTACATAAATTGCAAGATAAAGCCATATTATTTTGCTTATAATAATATGTGATAAAAACCCTTAGGACAACATTCCTTCCCAGGAAGTTCCTCAACTCATCCAAGAGCTTAGGCTTGAGATCTTCATCCCATCATTCCAACCAACTCAAGGTGAGCTTCATACCCCTACTTTTTCGAGTTTTATTGTTTTTGAAGGGAGAATACAAGTCAAAAACCTTGTTTTAAACCTTGATTAATTGCTTGCTATGACTGTATGATAAAGTGTCATGTGCTAAAGTTATGAAAACTCCAAGAACTTGAAATCTTGAGCAAGATTCAAGAGTTTGATTCATATTTCACAATTTATGTAAAGAAACAAGAAACTCGTATGTTACAAGATATGAGTTACAAATTTTTATGACAAAAATCATAAGTATTTACGTCCAAAAATTTCTTAAACAAGTATTTTGAAGGAAATGTATCACCTCCAACAACTCACATAGTTTTGAGCCACCTTTTGACAAGTATGAG